AGCTGTATGTCACTTCATATAGCTAGATATATATATATATATATATATATATATATATATATATATGTATTTATATAAACACACACTCACGTTTATGCATGTTTTGAAGGTTTTCCATATCTTCTCTGTAGGTCACAGCCCACTCAATTTTGTCCTGTGTGGGCTAATGACAATAGCACAGAAGGAAAGAAACAGATGTTACACAGGTGGAAATGGAGAATCAGCCCTAATTAGAACAACACAGAATTTTATACCAGACCCTTTCTCTATATTTATCAACTTATCCATTTTATACTGTAACAAATGTTAGTACTTTTGCAAATGATAAACAGAAATTCATACATTTTTAACCAAATTCAAATTTGACTGAAATCGATTTAAATTCAGTTAGCCTATGTACTTTAGCAGGATGAAAATTACACAGTGTTGGCTAAATCTGGCACATTTTACATATTGCATGTACTATTAATGTGCATCGTTCCTGATTAAATAAAATACATGAAATGAAAATGAAATGAAATATATTGGGGTGTTTATGTTAAATTTGTTCCATTCTAGGGTGTGTTTCCCTTTAAACTTGCTACTTAACCACTGTAGGATGCATCATTGGAGAAATTAACTAGCACCTCAGTGATTTGAAACAGATTGGTTTAATAATATATAGGACTGTTGTTAAAGACATCACACGCAGGTGGTGGAGTAATAACTTATTATTATTATTATTAATCAATTCAAGATTGCAATTAATGTCATATTGTTATTGTTCATTTACACAAACAACAAAAAGCCATTCATTTTTGTCACGTTAACAATGTAGTATGTAATTGGCGTACACTTTACTCCTGTATACAGTATATGTGGTTTCTTCAGTCAGCAGTTTTCTCCACAATGTAATTTCTCTGAGATGCTGCAGTAACAAAACCATTTCAAAGCCTCAAGGGCTTCAATGAACTGTGATCACATTCATACTATTCAAACAGATAAAAGTTTGGAATAGTTTCTAATCATCATAGGACAATGGTTCATGGCCATCCTACCAAAACCACTTCATGAGTAAGGTGTAATATTATCTAGGAATTAACAAAGAACCGCAGAGCAAGTGTGGACAAAAAGAACATGTCTTATGGACAAATGAATCAAAAGGAACTTGCCTGAAATGTCATATTTTTTAGTGAACTTCTTTTTTTTCACTTTAAACTTTAAAGGATTCATACAGAATTCATATAATTTTGCTTAGCATTTTGAATAAATAATTTCTCAATGTATGTCCCTCTCCCTGGATCTGTCATCACATCCCTGTCCTCTTTTCCTGTTGATGTGTGGGTGAAAAGTATCTGTGAAGATGATGAAGAACGCCAACACAATGAAAGACACTCAAGACTTTCCACTTTGTCTCTTTTAAATGTCTCTTGCTCAAACAACCCTTTGCACTTTCACATTTTTGTTTAGTATGTGGTCACACAGTTATTGTTGTGGTTCCTTTCTGGGTCTGTCCTCTGAAAAACCAAACCAGTCATATCAGACCATATGGGCTCTGTGGTTTTGGTTGTGTTTCTTACTGTTGATGCCAAGTCCTTGATATAAGTATAATCTATCATCTTGTGAGCCTCATTTTTTTCCATTATCCTCTCAAGAGGACACAAGAGGACACAATTAGAACCCCTGAGCAGTTGGGGCCTTTGCAAATTTCCGGTTTCATAATGGTAATACAGGCAATGAAATCTTATGAAAAGAATAGCATTGACAGAGTATATGTTCTGCCACACCCTCATTGGTAATCTGATTTCACTCATTATATTGTTTTTTAACAAATGTAACAAGGCCATTTCTAGACCAGAGGCCCTCGATACTGTGTGTGCGGATGACCTTTAATATATCTGTCATCTCGGATGTTTTTTGCTACTGAGAGACAGGCTTTTTGGATCCACCTGTGGAAGTTGTTAATGAAGAAGACTTTCAAACCTGATGTGCTGATGTGAAAAACATCACAAATGGGGCCTCTGGAAATTGCTTTCAGTATGAATTACTCAGGCATATTGTGAGTGAGAAAAGGCCTGGTGTTAAGCCATCGCCATGTGAACCCTGAAGCTGGAACTGCACTAAAGCAAATTCTCTCTCTACTTTCTCTTCGTTTTTGGTAGTAAGCCCTCACTAGAGGTCAGAAGTCCCACTCGATGCTGCCTGTACACTATTTCGTACTTTGCAGGTGGGTTCTCCAAGGTTAGTCAGTCAATTAGAGCAGAGTGTGTAGCACAAGGACAGGGTGTCCCTCAGGGATCCGTCTTAGGCCCTTTGAGGTTTTCTCAAGAGGCTCAGTTTTAATTCGTAACGCATGTGTCAGGACAGCAGAGGAGTGTAACTCCCTGTTGGAAGACCACAGATCAGAGATGTTGCTCCCTTGTGATGTTGGAGAACTTGAAACAGCTACTGTAATTCACCAAACAGAAACAAAGGGTGCAGTCTTCACATTACCCCAATACCCTTGTTGATCCCTAATTCATTCCTCTGTTCCACGATTTAGTTAACTCCACAACTTTCTTTTCCTCTTCACAAGTAGACAGGGCTTAGATGGAAGTGTGTGTTCCTCACCTAGGGAAGCATGGAAATACAATCAGAGCAGGACACTTCACCCTGGGTCCACAAGCGGGGCATCCGGCTGGACTTGTACTTATGGCAAGAAATACAGCCCATGGGTCGTTCGTAGGAACAAGAGGAAGGGTTGTCTGTGACGTGGGGGGAAGAGCAGCACGGCAGAATGACAAAGCTGTCATCTGATGAGAAAACACACTCTGGTCATATTTTCCTTTGTTTGTAAGAGTGGCTGCTAGCACTTGAAACTGCGGAGAAATGAATTGCCATGATGTCCTTTAGAGAAAAGCTTGAATAAATAAAGAATTAGAATTCTACCAGCAATAGTGAATCATTACTACAGCACATGCCCTGCACATCTGGACGCTCTGTGAAGTGGTGCTGTAATATAAATGCATATGTATAGACCATATGGGTGAATTAAGTCAGTCAATTATAGGCCATTATTGAGCGTACATAGCTTACCATATCTTTATAATGTCAAAAGAGACCATGTTATCATGTAGGTCTTTCACTAATATTGTGTCATACCTACAGTACACCTATCTGACTAAATATCCACTAAAAACTAAATCTGACTTGGTCCAAGTCTCTTTTCACATTGTCTCACATTCACATTGCATCTAAATAGCAGTATGTTTGCGCCATCAACATGAGTACTGGCTTAGCAGTAGCTGCTTGTCACTATACTTAGGCAATGACTCAGGAGAACAAGTCTGTATATTGACATATCTGTCCTTCTGGATTTAGCACCAAATGTTTACACACACAGAACAAGACTTGAGTTTGTCTTCCACAGATGCACTGCAAGAGATGCAAAGAATGAACGTTTCTGAAAGCAGTTTATTCAGAGACAAGGGGCTATGAGAAATATAGTGATACGAAGACTCACATATTTTCTGTTATTTGTGTGTTTGCCTCATTGTTTTATTGCATCACCTAGCATTCTCCTGTAAAATGTATTTATACACTTTAGAATTCATTGTTCTTTCAATGACTATGAAGTGCTCAGACCCTGAGGCAGCAAAGCAGTGCTAAACCATGATGCTCCCTCCACCATGCTTCAAGTTGGGAAGAGGTTTTGTGCACTGCCCTTTTCCTCTAAACAAAGCATTGTGCATTTTTGTGACTCAACTGTCCACAGAACATTTTCCAAGAACCGTTGGGGAACATCCAGGTAAACTTAGGTAAACATGAGACATGTCTCAATATTTTTTTAGACAGCAGTGGTTATGTATCTGGCTTTACAGTAGGGCTGCACGATTAATCGCAATGCGCATTAAATATCGCATGCGATTAATCGTGCAGCCCTACTTTACAGTATGTTGTCTTTTCATGAACTATTCTTATTCAGTGTTTTTTTCTGATAGTGGACACGTGAACAAATACTGTGTAAAATTAGAAGATCTGGAGGTCTTTTGCTGTTATCCTTGTTTTTTTTCCCTCACCTCTTTCAGGATTGCCCATATAATTTATGTATTTATATTTTTTATACATTTCCAGACAAGGTATCTATAGCAATGTATCGTGCAATGCTTTCTTAGCCTTTTCCAGCTTTGTGCATCACTCTAATGTGTTTTTAAGGTCCAGTAATAGCTTTTGGGAATTGAGGCATGGTTCATACTAACTTTTCTTGAGAAGAACATATTTGTCAGTGTATGCCTTTATTTAAAGGGCAGGGATCTATGCAACTCACACTTCCAATCTCATCTCCTTAATTGACTCCAATTAGCTTTTGTAGAAATTGTAACACAGAGGTTCAGCCTGCCTTGTCTATGATCTCTTAAATTTAAAAATGTTTAAAAAGCACAACAGTTTGTGTGTTATTAGTTAAGTCAGATTGTATTTGTCTTTAATGTGTGACTTAGATGAAGATCAGACCACATTTTATGAGTAATATGTGCATAAAACCATATATTTTCAAAAGTCTCACAAACTTGCCACTGTATAGTCAGTTTGACCTAGAGTATACAAAAATGCAAATTATACATCAATAGTGGTTGGTCAAGCACACTATCATTGTCCTTTTGTTTTTGTCTTTGGACAGTGGAAAATGACAGAGAGCTGTCTCCACAGAGAAGACACCATAAAGAGTTCAAATTCAGCATGTCCCAGATTCCAGAGGGAGAGGCCATCACAGCTGCAGAATTCAGGATCTACAAGGAGTGTGTGACCAGGGCCTTCCGCAATGAGACATTCCTACTTAGCGTGTTCCAGGTGGTTGGGGAACATCCTGAAAGGTAAATGAGCAGTGAAATGTAAAAATATTATTCTATAAATATGGACATATATGTGCTAGTATAGTTGATTAGTATAGTCAAATATATATATATAAAATAATAATAAAAAATCATTACCCAAGTAATCATGCAGTGATCTCTTTCAAAAACATGCATGAAGCACAACTAGAATTAAAGGGTTACTCCACCCCAAAATGAAAATGTTGTCATTAATCACTTTACCCCCATGTCGTTCCAAACCTGTAAAAGCTTCGTTCGTCTTCGGAACACAATTTAAGATATTTTGGATGAAAACCGGGAGGCTTGTGACTGTCCCATTGCCTGCCAAGTAAATTACACTGTCAAGGCCCAGAAAAGTATCATCGTCATACTACATACAAGGCCCAGAAAGACATCATCAGAATAGACCATCTGCCATCAGTGGTTCAACCGTAATGTTATGAAGCGACGAGAATACTTTTTGTACGCGAAGAAAACAAAAATAACGACTTTATTCAACAATTCGTCTCCTCTGTGTCTCTCCGCATCACCGTAGCGCCATTTTGGAGAATATCCGCTGAACGCAAACTGCGTACGCTCTTCTGTGTCAGCCGCGACACAAGGATATGTTTTCTACGTGTATTTACGCTTTGATTTGAACAAAAACAGCGGATCCGTGCAGCGTGGCTGACACAGAATAGTGTACGCTGCTTGCGTTCAGTGGTTATTCTCCAAAATGGTGCTACGGTGATGCGGAGAGACACAGAGGAGACGAATTGTTGAATAAAGTCGTTATTTTTCTTTTCTTCGCTTACAAAAAGTATTCTCGTCGCTTCATAACATTACGGTTGAACCACTGGTAACAGATTCTGACGATGTCTTTCATACTTTTCTGGACCTTGACAGTGTAATTTACTTGGCAGGCAATGGGACAGTCACAAGCCTCCCGGTTTTCATCCAAAATATCTTAAATTGTGTTCCGATGAACAAAGCTTTTACGGGTTTGGAACGACATGGGGGTAAAGTGATTAATGACAAAATTTTCTACTTTTGTTACTAAATTAAACCAGTTAAGTTTACTTAGTTTGGTCTTCCCACTTCACTAAAATGAACTAACTCAGATTTACAATTAAAATGTTATTGTTTGGAAACATTGATTCTCTCTGTAATTCTGTTTAGTGCCACTAGGGACAGCAATGATTTCATCTTTAAATTGTGCAACAGGAGTGCACAGGAGTTAACAGTATAAAGGTGTAATACGTATTGTATTCTGAAACCCTGATTTATAACTAAATGTAAATATACAGGTATAATGGTTTTAATCACAGCAACTGCGGAAGTTCAGTGTGCAAAATGTAATTTCAAACTCTGAGTTTCCCCCTAGAACGGAACAATATAATTTCTATTGATGTACTTTGATGTTACAAACACATTTGAAAAAGAACAGAGGACACAGAGTGAGCTGCTTCCATGCATGAAGTTGATCGAAGTTACCTAAAACGGAGATGTGCTTGATATTAAGCTCTTAATACTAAATCATAAACCTACGCCACACGGCTTGTCCTCCTGTCAGATGCCTGTTATGTAATGCCTTTGAGACATGTTTTCCTAGAAGCACAACTTACATCTTGTGGCTGTACTTTTAAATGTAAAAAATGCATGTATTTCCATTTAAAGGATTATCCTGACAGCAAGCAAATCTACAATCTTAACTTTGCAAATGTAGACTTATTCTGACTAAAATTTTTGCATTCAAGAATGTAAGCACTTAAAATCTCTTCCTCCAATTACATCTGTCGGTTGCAATATTGACAGACTGTTGTGTATTTAAAGACAGACATAGTTTGAGTAAACCACTGTTTAATAAAAATAGTAAAAAAGGCTTGTTTTTTTCCTCCTGCTGTACTGAAAACATATTGAACCGTGACTTCAAAACTGAGGTATGTACTGAGTCATTTTTGTGTACCGTTACACCGCTAGTAAATATGATTACATTTAAGTACAATTAAACTCCAATTGTGAAAATATTTATTTGTTGGTGCCTATTCATGATTTTTAAGCTGAGTAATTTACTATGTTTTAAATCAAGCCCAGGCGTCCATCACTAAACACAGCAGAGGTTGTCTAACATGTACTTTATGTAGACTAAGGCCATGACCACGATGAACAACTGAAATAGCTCTAGTTTGGCATCTAAAAAAGAACCCACCAACACACGTCAAACATTGACTTTGTGGGTGGTGGGAAGGATATCTCATTGAGAAAGGCAGATGGTGTGACCGGTAAAGTGACCAAAACTCACCAATAAGATGTGACTATGAAGCCATATTTTTTTTCATTATTCTTATTTAACAGAAAAAGGCACCAAATAAAAATATTGGTAACAAAATGAACAATGGTAACAATGCGCTACATGTTTCTCTCCCAAATAGTTTCTAATGTTTATCACGAAGTGTTCATTTGGTGTACATCCTGAGTTGAACAATGGACACACTGTTTTTCCACAAACCTGCAGTGGGAGTCTTTTATTTTTAGTCATATCTCGAGATTATGCATCGCCAGTCATCGCCAGTCACAAAAAGGTGCAAATTATAGCATGCTTTGTGACATTTCACTACATGCCACTTTCTGCATGTAAATCCCAAATGCTGTGTGGCTTGCAAAATGTATTTGCTTACAAACAGATTAATTTGCAGACTTGTCAAGTTGTAACAGCATAATTACTGTGTTTATGGTTTGTGATCTTTAAAAAACACATTGGTTGGGGGAATGCGGTATAGCTAAGCTAAGTGGATGCACAAGATGGCTGAGAGAAACTTCTGAAGTGTGTAAGCCTTTAATCCATGAAGCAAAAAATAACTTGGTTATGGAGGTGGTCCAGAGGGGCTGTACTGTATATCTGGCTGAATTTAGCCCATGTGGCAAGACGATTTGACCTAAATCAGCAGCATAGTGAACCTCAAGTCACCAAGCTTCACATGGTCTTAAATGTAAAGAAACAATAGCATGTAAGAACATTTCCCAAGTGGTTGGACCTTAATTGTTTCTCTGGACCTTTATAATATGTAATAGGTGTTTAATTTATACACCACTAGAAATAATGACTATTTCCAAACATTCCCCATCTTCCATTGTTTGGGTATATCTGAAATTGATTACTAGCATACTGCCATATTCTACAGTTGTTTTAACAAAGTGTAGGAAACAGTATGCAAAAAAATAAATAAAAAGTAGGTCTAGTTTACAATACTTTGAGCACTTTTTTTTTATCACACTGTTAATGGAAATCACCTAGCATTGGAATACTGCTAATATAAACCACGGAAAAAAAAAAAACTTGGAATATTATGAGAAAGTTTGTATTTACATGTATATGTGGCACTTTTATTCAAAGCAGCTTTGAATACTTCATTGTATTGGGAAAAAACTGTTTTGGAGAAATCTGAGATGCATTTTTAAACACTGTCAGTTGTATTTATTTTGAAATCACAGCATAGATCAGGTTTTGTTTTCATGACAATCCATCAATACCCCATGAAAAATCCAGCTTGCCATGACTGTAGAGTTATTACTTTTCTGTTTGTATATATTCTAATCCCTGGTTGTTTTCATGTACATCTGGCCTCCGTGGAAAACCTTCCCAAGCCATATGGAAAGACGGTCCTGTATGCATGCAATGGCAGCGTGAAGCTATTAAACTATAGGTCCATTTTAACAGCAGCCAAGGACAGAAGCAATAAATGCGATTTATGCATCCAAAAAAAACCTGACACTTCTGACTTTATTATTCCGGTTAATTTAATGTGTCTATAAGAGGCTTTACAGTTGGGCTTTTAGAGTTGGCAGCTCCCCTGTGGTCTCATTCGGACCCCCGTCCCAGGTGAAGCTGTGTGACTGGTTGTACTAAACAGTATGAGTCAGCATAAGTACGATGAGTTCATGTCGAATGTGACGTGTGAACCACCGGAGGGAAGAACCTCATATGGAGTTCCTTAGAGAGCAGCTCTAATTAATGAGCAATAAAGAGGGGCTGCAGGGACATTCCCAGAACACCTGTGTGACCGACAGCTTTGAAGTGACCTGGCCAATGCTTATTACCATGCATAGTGTGTAATTACTATAATGGGACAGGCCTCCCTGTAAGGCTACTGCGATCAAACTTTTGCCTCTGTTCTCAAATCTGTGACGAAGCTCCTCTAAATTTGACAAACTAGTATTTTTTAAATTATTGAATACATGCCTTAAAATTATCTTGGAAAATATTTAAGAATATTTGAAGAACACAACAGGATGAGGTGAAACATGCTGCAGTGGGAAACAACTAACTAACTAAATAAATAAAATATCTCTTAACATCTCAAGATGGGAAACTATTTTTGTTAATTAAATTCATAAATGTATTAATTGAAACTGTTAATTAGAAGATTCAAGCTGGCTGTCAAGCCACTGTGTTTGCAGATTACAATTGTAATTTCATTGCTTTTACATGTATAAACTTGCATTTTCTATATAAGTGACCATTTATGCATATTATTTTTTACGATTACCATGCATATTGTTAGCATTTATTCCATATACAGTATTTCCTGTTATTCACTTTGTTCTCATCATAAATATAGCCTTGCTGCTGACAGGGTGTTATGAATGAATTAATGAATGAATGAATGTACTGTATTATGTATAATAATGATTAAATGGGGTCATTGATTCTTGTAAATAGTATTTATAACAGTTAATGATCTACAGACTTGCTCATTTGCAGGGATGCCGACCTGTTTCTGCTGGAATCTCGCAGGTTGTGGGCTGCTGAAGAAGGTTGGTTGGAGTTTGACATCACAGCAACTAGTAATCTCTGGGTGATGAGTCCACATCATAACCTGGGTCTACAGATCAGTGTGGAGACCAGCAGTGGTAAGATGATTTTACGATGAGTTTAACTCATTTGTGTGTATATTTCCAAGGAGTCCTGCATCAACCAATCAATTGCCAGTGAGATGAAAGAGAATGATTGTTTTCTCAAAGTATTATACAGTATACATCTTCTTGGCTAGTTCAACCTATTAATTGACATTTCCTTTGGTAACTCAAAGATATGAAGGCAGTAGACCCAAAATGGATTTATAGATAAACAGGTACCAATGCTTATGTCTGCATGTTGATAATGACAACCAACCAACTCTGTTATACAAATCACAATGGTGGGTACTGACATTGCAATTTAATGTAAACCTAAGCGCACCATGATACAAAGTATCCAAAGAACATAAAAGTTTGTTAGACATCGTTTTATACAGCATATCTCCATAATCAAGGACTGGCATAAATGAAAAGCAGGGTTTATTTCTGTAATAGAACCTCAGCTTTAGCTTTAGTCTTGTCCTTAATCGATTAATATGAGATTTAAAAATAAGGAGTAATCAAGCATAAAACCAAGATATTTATATTCTGTCACTACCTCAATTATAGTACCCAGTAAAGTTTTGAGTAATAGTTAATCATCAAAAGCACTCTGTAGTGAGGACACAGCTTGGTGTAATTTAGGTGTGCTACAATAAATCACAGTGTCATCAGCATAAAAGTGAAAATTAAAATTACTAATATTAAATCAAGGTTATTAATTTAAATAATAAATAAGTAGAGGCCCCAAAACAGACCCTTGAGGAACACCCCTCGTAATGTGCAATGATGCAGATGAATGGCCTTCCATTTGCACACATTGTGTTCTGTCCACTAAATAGCTTTCAAACCTAGAGATTGTGTCATTAGTTTCAGTTACATTTTTAGTATAATGAAGTCAACAGTGTCAAAAGACTTGGACAGGTCAATTAAAAGTGATACACAGCAATGACCTTTATCAAGCACCTCAATTAAATCATTTAAAACTAGTTGCATCTGTGGTTGTGCTGTGTCGTTTCCTAAAACCTGACTGATTGTGTGATAAAATATCATGTTCCATAAGATATGAAGTCAACTGCTCACATGAGAGATTCAAAAAGCAACCAAGAAAATACAACATTTAGAAATCAGCCTATAGAAAGTCATACTGGAAGGATCTCCTTTTAACAATGGGACAACAAAGGCAGACTTCCATATCTTTGGAAATTAATTTAAACTCAGTGAAAGATTATAAATACATGTCAAAGAGGCGGCAAAATAATCTGCAGCTATTTAAAAAAAAAAAAAGTGGTTCTAATTGGTCAGGACCAGCTGACTTATTTACATCCAATAGTTTGAGTTTTTTTTTAAATCTGACAGGTAGAAAACGGTTTAAAACTAAAATTAAGAGCTATTAAATGCCTTCCTCTCTTTTCCATGCCATTTTCCATTATTCTTATCTATAATTTTAGGTACCTTAAACGACGATCCTACAGCAACAAGATGTTTATTAAGACATTTCAGCATCTCTCCTTTATCTAAGATTTGTATAAGATTGTTCATTATGTATAAAGGAAGTCTTTCAGCCTTTTTTACACCTGAAGTCAATATTTTTCTAAAATTTCATTGGTTTATTTAGATTACAAGTTGTTTTATTTAAAATGTAATCGGCTTTAGCTAATCCTAATCATCAATGTATATCTATTACATAATTGTCTAAAACAGATTGAAGATTGGAATGCCTTGCTCTAGCCCAAGCGACATCACACTCATGAATCAAATTTGATAATGTAGGAGAGAACCAAGGGTTATCTCAACCCTTTACACAATATTTTTTAAAAGGCGCATGCTTGGTAATGATAGTGGTGAGCCCTTCATAAAAATAATCCCAGGCACACTCAATATCTGGAATCAACTAAATCTTCTCCCAGTCAAGTGGTCTTGGGTAATTTTGCATTTCTAACTATTGCAACAGCACAGTGATCACTAATGTCAAGTGCATAAACAGATGCTGCTAAATATCTATAAGGTGTATTTGTAAAAAATTAAATCAAGAAGTGATGATTTATCTGACTTTTTAAAGTTTAACCTGGTTGGAGTATTTACTAATTGCTGAATATTAAATGTATCACAAAAGAGTTTAACTTCAGCAGATAAAGGCTGTAGCCAGTTCCATTTAAAATATCCAATTAGTACTATTTCCTTAAAATTCAACTTAGATAAATAATCTGTTAAAAATAAAAGATTAATTTGTTGCTCAATTGTTGAATATCCCATTTATAGCATTTTTTTTGTTTTTGCTTTTTAAGGCTGGAGCATCAATCCCAAGGAAGTGGGGTTAGTTGGTCGTGATGGTGCTTTAGAGAGGCAGTCTTTCATGGTGGCCTTTTTCAAAGTGAGCGAAGTCCATATCCGAACTGCCCGGTCAGTGGGCAAGCGACGTCAACCGAACCGCAATCGCTCCAGCAGTCCACAGGAGGAATCAAAGGGACCAGCTCATACAGGTTATCCATATATATTTTCCATATTGTGCACTAAGCACCTTTTTTTTCTAAAGAAGAGAAGTTTAATATGCACTTATGGTAGAAATCAGCCATACGGTCTCTTTTAATTCTTCAGAAGATGTTGACCTGGGATAGTTCTGGGATATTTTTGTATCTGATGAGTTTTATTGAGTCCAGATCTTCATATATTGTACTCTTGTATAATGAGAATCTGGACTCAATAAATCGCTTTAAGATCCTTTCGAGAATTCATTTAAAAAACAGCACATATGTAGGCCTGACATCCTGTGTCTTGATTTGAAGTCTTTTACCAGCCCTCACCAATAGATTGCTGTAGTGATGACTTCTTTTTGTAGGTTGACATGCAAGTTAGCATCACCCTGGCTCCCAAATAATTTTTTCGATTGGCTTTTGGATTATTGTAGAAAGTAAGATCTGTGACCAACAAAATTATGATTCTTATGTTTTGTCAATCAGGAGAATCTTTACAAAATAACACAACTTTTGAAAAAAAAAACAACATTTTGTTCTTAAAACAATTTCAACAAATTTTGAAACGTGAATTCAATTGCCAGCTGAACGTAGGCTATTGCTGAACTACACTACTGTTGCATGACATCAATGTCACCACCTTCTGAAACCTCTTTAAGTCTTTTTTTTTTTTTTTTTATATATTTTCCTTGAAAGTTTGAGTTAGAATAGTTTGCAAGAGCTAGATTATCAGCACAATTAAGCAGTAAAAGTGGACTAATGAGTAGTTGAGTAGCTGTTTGGTATGATGATGTTTAATGACCCCAACATCCTCTCTAGTCCAATTTAGCTGCTTGTTAGCAACAGCCTTTTTCAAGCCAAGTAAAAGCTTAAAAATAATAATAATAATCCCTAGGGAGTATTAATGATGCATTTCATGTCATAAACATGAAAATTGTATTTGAAACTTGTGTTAATCATGGATCTTATTTCAGGCATTTAAAGGGGTCCTATTATCCTTTTTCACTTTTTTAATTTTAGTCAGTGTGTAGTGTGTATGTTTGGGCATAAAAAAGATCTAGAAAGTTACAAATCTCAAAGTCCACTCCAAAGGGAGATATTTCGTTTTTTAAAAATCCCTTTTCAAGAACTACAACGAATGGCTCGTTTGGACTACAGCGTTTGTTTTCCGGGCTTTGTGATATCACAAAGCGGCTCATT